CACAGGATAAGTCTAAAGAAGTAATTTGCATTGTTTCTCTTTTAAATATTTTTTTAGTTATACATGGACACAATATCTTTATTTTGTTTATTTATTTTTATGTGTGCTGAGGATCAAACCCAGTGCCTCACATGTGTGAGGCAAGCACTCTGCCACTGAGCTACAACCCCAACCCTGCATTGTTTCTTTTTAATTTCAATTGGGTTAAGATGTTGAGCCTATTGAGGGAAAGTTGAATGGATTGTTATGTTTGAACTTGGACCACTTAGTTCTCTGGGTATTTTATGAGAGAATTAGAATAAAAATTGGTGTATTATCAGTATCTCCATCCTCATTCCAACTTCCACAGTTAGCATCCAAAAACAGTAAGATGGTTTGCGTTTGTGAGGAATAGTACATAAGCAATTCACCTTCTTTTTTTTTTGGTACTGCATTCCCAGCCCTTTTTATTTTTTATTTTGAGACAGGGTGTCACTGAATTACTTAAGGCCTCCCTAAATTGCTCAAGCTGGTTGGAATCCTCCTGCCTCAGCCTCCTGAGTCACTGGGATTTCAGGCGTGTGCTGGCATATCCAGCAACAATCAATTCACCTCTATTATTATTATTATCATCATCATCATTATTTTGGACAGAAAATGCATAGATTTAATGAAGCTGAAAATAACAGTCCATAAAGTAGAATGAATATACTCAGTAGAGCAGAGTAGGCCAGGTGTGGGCAGAGAGAGGGAGACTGGCTCCAGGCCACCAATTTACCTCTTAAAGGAAAATATGTTGAAATGCAAATTTATAATCCAGTAAGAGTACCTAAATTAGTTACTTCAAAAAAAAAAAGAGAGAGAGAGAGAGAGATTCTTAACTTGTGGTGGTTCACGCCTGTAGGTCCAACTACTGTTAAGGCTGAGGCAAGAGGATCCCAAGTTCCAGACTAGCCTGGGCAATTTAGGGGACTATCCCAAAATAAATAAAAAAGGCTGGGGATGTAGTTCAGTGGTAGAGTGTCTGCTTATGATGCATGAGGCTCTGGGTTCAATTCCCAGTACTGAGAAGGAGAGAAAAAAGAATTAATTCTTTGCTCTATGGAAGGATTTTCTATAAGGAATATATAGGGGTTTCCTTGCCAGGTAAGATGTCATATGCTAAGGCAGGAAGATCACAGGTTCAACGCCAGCCTCAGCAATTTACAAAGGCCCTAAGCTCCAAAAATAAAAAAGGGCTCCGGATGTAGCTCAGTGGTAAAATACCCCTGGGTTCAATCCCTAGTATCAAAAAGAGCAGCAGGGCTGGGATTGTGGCTCAGTGGTAGAGTGCTTGCCTAGCATGCATGAGGCACTGGGTTCGATCCTTAGAATCACATAAATGTAAGATAAAGATATTGTATCCACCTAAATTAAAAAATAAATATTAAAAAACAAAACAGCAACAAAAAAAAGAGGGATTTCCTTAAGTTTTTTTTTTTGTTGTTGTTATGTGTGTGTGTGTGTGGTACTGGGGATTGAACCCAGGTCCTGTGCATGAAGCAAGCACTCTATTAAATGAGCTATATCCCCAGTCCCTCCTTAAGTATTTTACAGTCAGGTACTCAACCACCTCACACATGCTAGGCAAGCGCTCTGCCACTAAGCTACAACCTCAGCCCCTGACTTCTTTTTTTTTTGTGTGTGTGTGTGTGTGTGGTGTTGGGGATTGAACCCTGAGCATTGTGCATGCAAGGCAAGCACTCTACCAATTGAGCTATATCCCCAGCCCTGATAACTGATTTCTTTATATATATATATATATATATTTGTTATCGTTGGACACAATATCTTTATTCCATTCATTTATTTTTATGTGGTGCTGAGGATCAAATCCAAAGCCCCACATGTGCTAGGCGAGTGCTCTACCACTGAGCCACAATCCCAGCCCCGATAACTGATTTCTTGATAGAATAAAAGCTGAAAAAAATCTTTAAAGCCTGGGGTTGTTGCTCAGTGGCAGAGCACTTGCCTCTTACATGTTAGGCACTGGGTTTGACCCTCGGTATCACATAAAAATAAATAAACTGGACTGGGGTTGTGGCTCAGCGGTAAAGTGCTCATCTAGCATGTGCAAGACCCTTCGTTCGATCCTCAGCACCACATATAAAATAAATAAAGGTATTGTATCCAACTACAACGAAGAAATAAATGGATATTTAAAAAAAATAAAATAAAGATATTGTGTCCATGTATAACTAAAAAAATATTTTAAAAAAATCTTTAAACATAGGTAGTGAAAAAATTTAAAAATTAACAGTAAGTTTTAGAGCTGGAGATACACCCAGTTGGAAAGGGCTTGCCTGGCATTTATAAAGCCCTGGGTTGAATCCCTAGCACAGTCAAACAAACAAGGCATTTTTATTTTTATTTATTTATTTTTTTAAAAAAATAAATGACAGCAGAATGCATTAAAATTCTTATTACACATATAGACCACAATTTTTCATATCTCTGGTTATATATAAAGTATGTTCACACCAATTCCTGTCTTCATACATGTACTTCGAATAATGATGTCTATCACATTCTACCATCCTTGTTAACCCCCTGCCTGCTCCCTTCCCCTTCTACTCCTCTGCCCTATCTTGAGTTCATTTATTCCTCCCATGCTCCCCCTCCCTACCCCACTATGAGTCAGGCACCTTATATCAGAGAAAACATTCAGCAGTTATTTTTTGTGGATTGGCTAACTTCACTTAGCATTATCTTCTTCAACGAACAGGGCCTTTTTAAAGAAGGTAAGTGTATTAGAGTCTAGTTGGAAGTCAAGTTGCATGGTGATCTGTATAACAACAATATAATTTTGTATACATGTAATTTCTAAATTTCTAAAATATATAACATCAATAAATATATGTGTATTGTTTATTTAAAAATTGTTAAATCAAGCTCGGCACAGTGATGCATGAGTGTAATCCCAGCAACTTGGAAGACTGAAGCAAGAGGATCACAAGTTCAAAGCTAACCTGAGCAATTTAGCAAGATCTTGTCTCAAAAATTAAAAAATAAGTGCTGGAGCTGGGTATAATGGCACACACCTGTAATCCCAGGGACTAGGGAGGCTGAGACAGTAGGATTCTAAATTGAAGGCCAATCTCAGAAATTTCGCCAGGCTGTAAGCAACTTAGTCAGACCCTGGCTCAAAATAAAAGAATTGAAAGGAGTGGGGATGTAACTCAGTGGTAAAACACCCCTGGGTTCCATCTGGAGTATAAACAAACAAAAACAGATGCCAGGCATGTGGCTCACAGCAGTAATCCCAGCAACTCTGGAGGCTAAGATAGGAGGGCCATAAGTTTGAGGACAGCCTCAGCAGTTTAGTAAGACCCTCAGCAACTTAATGAAACCCTGTCTTAAAATAAAAAGGACTCGGGCTGGGGATGTGGCTCAAGCGGTAGCGCGCTTGCCTGGCATGCGTGCGGCCCGGGTTCGATCCTCAGCACTACATACAAACAACAGGTTGTGTCCGCCGAAAAAACTAAAAAATAAATATTAAAGATTCTCTCTCTCTCTAAATAAAAAATAAAAAGGACTCAAGGGTGGGGCGGGGTGGGGGGTTGCTGTGGCTGTGGCTCAGTGGTAGTGCACTTGCCTGGCATGTGTGATGCACTGGGTTTGACGCACCACATATAAATAAGGGACAAAAACATTCATTTTTAAAAAATAAGTAAAAAGGACTGGGTATATAACTCAGTGATAAAGCACCCTGGGTTCAATCCCTAGTGCTAAATTAATTAATAGATTAAAAAGGGTTTGGGGTTTAGTTCAATGATAAAATGATAAAGTATCCATGAGTTTGACTCCCACTACTGCCAAAAAAAAAAAAAAAGAATATAGGATTAGCCAATACAGAAAGTGGCAACAACTTTTATAATGACAAAGCTTAATCTCATGCCAGCTAACAGAAAGTGTTTATAGCGTCCAGCTCTAGCTTTGACACCGGGTAAAGAATGGCATATCTGCAGCTAAAAGGCAAGAAATCCATAATACATAATCAGTATCTCCAAAATTATAGTGAAAGTCAGAATGCACTTCATTTTATAAAATTTAGATTTCTACCACTGTTGAGCAACTCTTTTGGTTCATAAAGTTAGTCATGCCCTGTTGCCAAATCTAATATGCTTTCCTTATAGAACTAAGCTGTGAGACTAACACACAGATATAAGAGTAAAAGGGTGTTTTTAAAACAGCTCATCATGTATTAACTAAAGTCGATAATTATTATTTTTAATATTAATCCATTTTACTTCCAGTTTGACATTCAGTATGTGGAACTTGAGGTTTTTACCTGTCCTTACACTAGTGGTCAGTCCTATTCTTCTCATCTGTCTAGCTAGTGAACAGAGGTAGTATGGTAGAACAGAGGGCAGGAAAAGTCGGCTCCATTAACCATTGCTTAGGTTGGGTCAGGCATGCTTTCAAGACTTCTAACCAGAGTCTGGAATAGCCAGCCTAAGGAGTGGGCAGCAACTGTGGCATGTTGACCACTAATATTCAGCATTGGCATTACCAAGAGAATGATCAAATGAGGTGCATGTAGTAGCCAGAGTATATCAACATAATCTACTTCAAAGGAAACACTTTTTAGATCTTAAAAGAGGTGGGGTTGTTTTGTTTTGTTTTGAACTGGGGATTGAACCTAGGGACGCTTAACCACTGAACCACATCCCCAGCTCTTTTTACTTTTTTTATTTTGAGATAGGATCTAACTAAGTTCCTTAGGGCCTTGCTAAATTGCGGAGCTGGCTTTAGAAACAATCTTCGTACCTCAGCCTCCTGAGCTGCTGGTATTACAGGCGTGTGCCCAGCTTAAAAAGAGTTTTTAACTCTGTGGTAAATGTTTTATATCAGTTTGGATTGGAGAACAAGATTAAGGACATTAGATTGAAAAGCTAAACTTTTGATTTAATAAGCTATTTTTTAGTGTGCCTCAATGTATTCTCTCCACTGTACCTCATTTGCCTTTTTTACTAAAATAGGTGACCCCCATGCCTCAACAGTACAATTCTCAAATTCTACCACCTCAGTGCTGGCCACCCTTGCAGCCCTTGCTGAGGCATCAGCCCCCCTCTCCAATTCACACAGAGCCACAGGTAGGTAGGGGATGTCTGCTGGATGAATTACCATTTCTACTTTGGTTTTTAAATCTCCAGCAGATTTAATTTGCATGAAATATATTAAAGAATTGTAATTAATTAGAAGCACTTAAGAAAATGGATATATAGACATTTAGTATGTTCCACATACTGAATGTCACAGAACATCAGAAGGAAAATTATTGAGATATTTTCAGATAACTGAGTAATACCAATGACTGAATTCTTCCTTTGTATTTTTACAGCTTGAAGTTTGCCCTGATTCCACTTGATTCAGGTTGAAATGTTTAGTTTTGTATTAGCAGACTTTTAAAAGTTATTGTTATGTTTTGACTGATGCCATCATAGAATGATTCAAAATAGCAGCTAGATATCTTGTACTAAAGTATCAAAATTCATGGGACTGCTACCTTTTTTATCATCATATCCTATGTACTTAAGCTAGGATTGCTTTATTTTTACTGGAGATATTGATATTGCTTTGGCATTTCCAATGTTGTTGTTGTAGTACTGGAGATTGAACCCAGGAATGTTCTACTTTGTATTAGCTACCTTCCCAGTCCTTTTATTCCCCCAGTCCTTTTTTAAATTTTATTTTGAGACAGGGTCTCACTAAATTGCTGAGGCTGATCTTGAACTTGTGATCCTCCTCCCTCAGCCTCCCAAATCTCAGGCACATACCACTGTGCCTGACACTGTACCCTTCTCATACTTAAAAAGAGTTTTCAAGTCACTTAATCAGACCAAGTGGTCTACAAAGGGAGAAGTCTTAGGGTTTACATTTGGGTAGTGAGAACATTCCTCCAATTCAGTCCTGTTTTCTGACTGATAGTATTCATAAACATATCTCCTCAGACATGTATGAGAGAGTGGTACAGCAGAGGGAAAAGCATTATATATATATGGGGTTTTTTTTTGAGGGGGGGGGGTTCCAGGGATTGAACTCAGGGGCACTCAGCCACTGAGCCACATCCCCAGCCCTATTTTGTATTTTATTTAGACAGGGTCTCACTGAGTTGCTTAGTGCCTCACTTTTGCTGAGGCTGGCTTTGAACTCTCATTCCTCCTGCCTCAGTCTCCCAAGCCACTGGGATTATAGGCATTTGCCACCATGCCCAGCCTAAAAACATTATATTAAACTCATTCTTGCTAATCTTTTGTTTTGTTCTTGGATCTTGATAAATCATTGTACTTTTCCAGGTCTTTAGTTCCTTTCAGCTCTAACATTTAACTATTCTTTGTTTCTAAGAGATGTGAATGATATATTTGCATTCTTCCCAAATGTATCTTATATGGGTGGTTCATATCCCACTTATTATTGCAGGATTCTACCTGTGACTCTTTAGATCGAGAAATGTCATAATGACAGGAATTGTTTCCCCTAATAGTGATTAGGGATATTGATTAATCAGACTGAAAATCTTTTTTTTTTTTCTTTCCTGGTACTCTACCACTGAACTACATACCTAGCCATGTTTATTTTTTATTATGAGACAGGGTCTTTTTTTTTAAAGTGAGAGAGAGAGAGACAGAGAGAGAATTTTTTAATATTTTTTTTTAGTTCTCGGTGGACACAACATCTTTGTTTGTATGTGGTGCTGAGGATCGAACCCGGGCCCACGCATGCCAGGCGAGCGCGCCACCACTTGAGCCACATCCCCAGCCCGAGACAGGGTCTTGTTAAGCTTCTTAGGGCCTCACTGAATCGTTGAGACTGGGATTACAGGAATCTGCTACCATGTCTAGCCCGTAGCCCTTTTAATTTTATTTTGAAACAAGGTCTTGCTAGGTTGCTGAGGCTGTCATCAAATATACAATCCTTGTGCCTCAGCCTCCAGAATAGCAGGGATTACAGGTGTACACCAACCACTGTGTCCTGCTAAGACTGAAAATCTTGATTCAACATAACACATGTAAAACTCTTAGACTGGTAGCTGGCACATAAAGTAGTCAGTAAATGTTAGCTCTTGTTGATCTATCAGATGGGAGAAAATACCTGTCATACAGTTTGTTTACTATCTTCAATACTTTGACTACTTATGCTCACAAAGGGCTGGTGATGTAGCTAAGTGGAGGAGCACAACCCTAGCATGTGCAGGCCCTAAACTCTAGTACGACCAAAAGAAAAGAAAAAAAGATTCTCACTAAAAAAGGGTTCCAAGAGTCGGTTGCAGTGGACTATACCTATATTCCTAACAACTCAGGAGACTAAAGAGGCCCACATGTATATTATTGGCAGCTCAGGAGGATCACAAATTCAAGGTTACTTAGCGAGACCCTATCTCAAAATAAAAGCTGGAGATATAGCTCAGTGGCAGAGCACCTCTGGGTTTGATTCACTGTATAAAGAAAAAAAAAGGTTCTAAGCCTGGCACAGTGACCCAGCAGGGTGAGTCAGGAAGATTGCAAGTTTAAGGTCAGTGTTGGCAACTTAGTAAAATCCTGTCTTAAATAAAAAACAAAATGGGCTAGGGATGTTGCTTATTGGTAAAGTACCTCTGGGTTCAATCCCCAGTGTAAAAAAGAAAACAGTAAGAGAAGAAAAAAAAAATGGATTCCAAATATATTGGTTAAAATCACCATAATTTACACACTATAAGAAAATCACAATGCTCATTAGCCTATTAAAGCCTCTGATACTTAGTACAAAATAAACAAAAAAGTTCAAACATATTAACATTTTATACATAGAAATCATCTTTATTGAAAGCTACTAATAAACTTAATAAAAACACTGTAGAAAATACTATTTTAAACCATATGCCATGGCCCACAACTGTAACCCCAACAACACAGGAGACTGAGGCAGGAGGATCTTAAGTTCAAGGCCAGCCTCAGCAATTTATCAAGGCCTTAAGCAACTTAGTGAGATTCTATTTCAAAATAAAAAGGGATGGGGTGCTGAGGTTGTGGCTCAGTGGTAATAGCACTTGCCTAAGCATGAGTGAGGCACTGGATTCAATCCTCAGCACCATATTTTAAAAAGCAGGGATGTGGGGTGGGGGCTGGAGATGTAGCTCAGTGGTAAAGCACCCTGGGTTCAATTCACAGTACCCCCCCAAAAAAAAACTATTCTAGTGCATTCTCTATTTTCTTTTCTCCTCTGACTTCACATTATCCACAAAAACTTCTGTGATCATTGAGCCCAGCCTAACTTTTTTTTCTTTTGCAGTTTTCTCCCTCCCTTAATAATATCAGTTTCAAGGAGGATGAAATTGTTATACTCCTGTTTTGAAAAAGCTGAAATTTTACTTTTATTATTTCTAGCCAATTCAGAGGAAATCGTGCAGGGAAATTCTGTTGACTCATCAATCCAGCAAGTGGTGGGGAGTGGAGGCCAGAGAGTCATCACCATAGTAACTGATGGAGTCCCTTTGGGTAATATCCAAACTGCAATCCCTACTGGAGCCATTGGCCAGCCATTTATTGTAACTATGCAAGATGGACAGCAAGGTGAGTTATCTCTGATTATTAAAAGATATTTTAGCTGAGTATGGTGGCATACACCTGTAATCCCAACAGCTCTGGAAGATGAGGCAGGAGGATCTCAAAAAAAGGCAGCTTCAGCAACTTATCAAGGCTGTAAGCAACTTACCTAGACCCTGTCTCAAAATAAAATAAAACATAAGAAGGGTTGGGGATATAGCTCAGTGGCTAAGCACCCCTGGGTTTAATCCCTGGTACAAAAAAACAAAAAGATATTCTAGACACTCCACACCACACTCCCCTAAAACGGAGGCATTAAGACAAATAGTGGAAATGGAAGAATGCTAGATAAAAGATGAAACAGGGCTGGGGATGTGGCTCAAGCGGTAGCGCGCTCGCCTGGCATGCGTGTGGCCCTGGTTCGATCCTCAGCACCACATACAAAACAAAGATGTTGTGTCTGCTGATAACTAAAAAATAAATATTAAAATTTTCTCTCTCTCTCTCAAAAAAAAAAAAGATGAAACAAGCTTTGAAGAAGAAAAAGAAACAGAAAAAAACTAATTCCTCTAATATATACAAAATTTGTCAGTAAAAACCAATGATCTGATACAGTAATAGAAAAAAGATCAAAGAGGGCTGGAGTTGTGGTTCAGTGGCAGAGCACTTGCCTCACACATGTGAAGGTTTGATCTTCAGCACCGATTTATAAACAAAAACACATTTTTGATAATAAAAATAAACAAAATAAAGATTTTATGTCCATGTATAACTTAAAAATATTTTTTTTTAAATTAAAAGATCAGGATTGGGGTTGTGGCTCAGTGGCAGAGCCACTGGGTTCGATCCTCAGCACCACATAAAATAAATAAATAAATATACCGTGTCCATCCACAACTAAAAAAAATTGAAAAAAAAAATTAAAAGATCAAATAGTGTGAACTAATAGTTCACAGAAAATACTGATGCCTCGTTTGAAAACATGAAAATGGGGGCTGGGAAAACGAACAATCTGTGAGGTGAATAGAGAGCCTATATCTTGGGAGCAAATCTTTGCCCCTCACACATCAGACAGAGCACTAATCACTAGGGTATATAAAGAACTCAAAAAGCTAAACACCAAAAAAACAAATAACCCAATCAATAAATGGGCCAAGGACCTGAACAGACACTTCTCAGAAGATGATGTACAATCAATCAACAAATATATGAAAAAATGTTCATCATTACTAGCAATTAGAGAAACGCAAATTAAAACCACTCTAAGATTTCATCTCACTCCAGTCAGAATGGCAGCTATTATGAATACAAACCATAGTAAGTGTTGGCGAGGATGGGTGGGTGGGAGGCACACTTATACACTGCTGGTGGGACTGCAAATTGGTGCATCCAATATGGAAAGCAGTATGAAGATTACTTGGAAAATTGGGAATGGAACCACCATTTGACCCAGCTGTCTCTCTCCTCGATCTATACCAAAGGACTTAAAAACAACATACTAAAAGGACACAGACACATCAATGTTTATAGCAGCACAATTCACAATAGCTAAACTGTGGAACCAACCTAGATGCCCCTCAGTAGATGAATGGATAAAAATAATGTGGCATATATACACTATGGAATATTACTCAGCAATAAAAGAGAATAAAATCATGGCATTTGCAGGCAAATGGATGGAGTTGGAGGGTATAATGCTAAGTGAAGTTAGCCAATCCTAAAAAACCAAATGCCAAATGTTTTCTTTGATATAAGGAGGCTGATTCATAGTGGGACAGGGAGCAGGAGCATGGGAGGAACAGATGAACTCTAGATAGGGCAGAGGGGTTGGAGGGGAAGGGAGGGGGCATGGGGTAATTAATGATGGTGGAATGTGATGATAATTATTATTCAAAATACAGGTATGAAGACACGAATTGTTAGTATACTATGTATACAACCAGAGATATGAAAAATTGTGCTCTTTATATGTAATAAGAATTATGCATTCTGCTGTCATATATAAATAAAAAAATTAAAATGAAAATGGGGCTGGGGATGTGGCTCAAGCAGTAGCGCGCTCGCCTAGCATGCGTGCGGCCCAGGTTCGATCCTCAGCACCACATACAAAGATGTTGTGTCCGCCAAATACTAAAAAATACATATTAAAATTCTCTCTCTCTTTCCCTCTCTCTCACTCTTTCTTTAAAAAAAAAAGAAAAGAAAATGGGGGCTGGGGTTGTGTCTCAGTGGTAGAGTGCTTGCCTAGCATGTGTGAGGCACTGGGTTCGACTCTCAACACTGCATATAAATAAATAAGGTAAAGGTTTATTGACAACTAAAAAATAAATAAATAAATAAAGTGAAAATGTTCAACCTGCTTCACTGATAACAAGAAATGCAAAGAAATATTGTACTGAGATCCCATGATAACACTAAACTATCAAGAGTATAGACAAACGGGCACTCTTGTAAATCACTTGTAAGTTTTTGCATTAATCTATCCTCTAAAGAGCAAATTAGCAGTATCTCTCAGAATTAAAGATGCAAGCAGTGCACAATGGTACATGCCTGTAATCCGGGCCACCTGTCTCAAACTGAAAAATTAAAAAGGGCTGGGGATGTAGCTCAGTGGTAAAGTATCCCTGGGTTCAATCCCCAGTTATGCCCCCCCCCCAAAATGCATATACCTTTTGATTAAGCAGTTATTTTTCTATTAATTTATATTTAAACCCACAGAAATGACTTATATACTGTTATGCATTACGGCATTATTTTTGTAATTGTTAAACATTAAAAGGAGCCTAATAGGTGCATGCCTATAATCCCAGCCTCTTAGGAGGCTGAGGCAAGAGGATTACAGGTTCAAGGCCAGCTCTAGCAATTTAGTGAGAGCCTGTCTCAAAATAAAAGATCTTGGAATGTAGCTCAATGGAAAAGTGCTTGCCTAGTATCCTTTTAAGCCCCTGGGTTCAGTCCGCAGTACCACATATACACACACACATACACCACTGTCAAGTAATAAGTATAAGATTTAGGATAGTGTGTAGAGTGTGCTATTTTTGTATTTTCAAATGGGGAAATATATGTAAATTTAGACTTAGAATGCCTCTAGAAAGAAATTGCTTCCTAAGGGTGAAAAATAAATAATTAAAATCAAAGAAATTGCTTCCTTCTGGGAAGGATTACTGGATAGCTGGGGATGGGTAGAAGTTTTTTAACATGTTTCTATGATTTTTTACTTTTTTTAATTTAAAAAATATTTTTGGTACTGGGGGTTGAATCCAGGGGCTCTCAACTACAGAGTTACATCTGCAGCCCTTTTTATATTTATTTTTTTGAGACAAGATCTCACTCAGTTGCTAAGGCTAGCTTTGAATTTGCTATCCTCCTGCCTCAGCCTCCCCAGTTGCTGGGATTACTGTGTGCACCACTGTGTCTGCTCTTTTGTTTTTTTAATTTTATTTTTTGGTGGTGCTGGGCATTAAACCCAGGGCCTTATGCCCGCCAGGCAAGTGCTCTACCATACATCTGTACCCCTAGCCCTAAATTTTTTTTGAAATCTGAGCACTGTGGCCTCCACCTGAAGTCCTAACTACTTAACAGGCTGAAGCAGAAAGATTGTGGTCAGTGTAGGCAACATAGTGAGACCTCTGTCTCTTTAAAAAAATTAAACAGCCATATTAAAAAATTACTTTTTCCCTGGGTTTGATATCTGGCAATGAAAAAAAAAAATCATTTTTGGCCAGGTGTGGTGATACATGCCTATAATCCCAACTACTCAGGAGGCTGAGACAGGAGTATTTCAAGTTTGAGGGCAGCCTAACCCTGTCTCAAAATAAAATAAAGGGCTGAGGATATTGCTCAGTGGTAGAGCCCTTGCCTAGCATGTGTGTGTGGCAATGGATTTGATTTCCAGCACTGAAAAAAAATTTTCTTTGAAAGAAAAAGAAGCCAATCATTACAACTACATTTCTTAAAAATATTGGAAGTTGAAAAGCACAGCCTTGGTATAATTGCCTTTATTGTCACCAAAATTTTGACTTGGTCTAAATGATTTTGGGAATTTTTAAATTTTCAAATTATTTGAATTGTTGGATCTCTGTATTATAGGAAGATAGCATAGGAATTAAACCCTTATAATTCAAATTTTGATATAAATTCTTTTTTAAAAAATTTTTTGCGGGGCTGGGGATGTGGCTCAAGTGGTAGCGCGCTCGCCTGGCATGCGTGCGGCCCGGGTTCGATCCTCAGCACCACATACAAAACAAAGATGTTGTATCCGCCGATAACTAAAAAATAAATATTAAAATTCTCTCTCTCTCTCCTCTCTCACTCTCTCTTTAAAAAAAAAAAAATTTTTTTTTGCAGTACTGGGAACTGAACCTAGGGCCCTACACAATGCTATGCAAGCACTCTACCATAGAACTACATCCCTAGCCCCTTTTAAACTCTAATTTTTTTTTTTTATATTGGTGCCTTACATATAGTTAGACAAAATAAAGTCAGGCATGTGGCGCACATTTGTAATCTCAGCAATTTGAAAGGCTAAGACAGGAGGAGCACAAGTTTGAAGCCAGCTTCAGCAACTTAGCAAGACCCTCAGCAATGTATTTATTTATTTAAAATTTTAAATTTGTAGATGGACCCAGTAACTTTATTTTATTTATTTTTATGTGGTGCTGAGGCTCAAACCCAGTGCCTCACAGGTACTAGACAAGCACTGTACTACTGAGCTATAACTGCAACCACTACCCACAGCAATTTAGATAGATCCTGTCTCAAAAAAATACACAGGACTGCTGAGCATGTTGGCACACTCCAGTAATTCCAGTAACTTGGGATGCTGAGGGAGGCAGGAGGATTGCAAGTTCAAAACCAGCCTTAGTGGGGTGGGGGGACTGGGGTTGTGGCTCAGGGGTAAGGTGCTCACCTAGCACATGTGAAGCCCTGGGTTCTATCCTCAGCACCACATAAAAATAAATATATAAGTAAAGGTATTAGGTCCAACTACAACTAAAAAATAAATATTAAAAAAAAACAGCCTTAAGCATCCTTATTTGATAATGCTTCCTTGTAATTTAGGTCTAATATGTTGCTTTTAGACTTCCAGTACTCCTGGAAATCCCAAGGTTAGTTTTTGTTCAGAAAGGCTTCATTTTGAAATTTGATTTTGGAAACTGCTAAACACATCAAAAAGTTTTAAAACAGCCTGTGGATACAGCTCAGTTGGTAGAATGCTTGCCTCGAATGCACAAAGCCCTGTCTTCAATCCCCAGCACCACACACAAAAAAAGTTTTAAAGCAATCAAAATAGGATCACAGATTATTATGAAATAAAACCAAAGTGACAGGGCTGGGGTGATGGCTCAGTAGTAGAGCGCTTGCTTAGCATGTGTGAGGTACTGGGTTCGATTCTCAGCACCTCATAAAATAAAGGTCCATTGACAACTAAAAAATATTTTTTAAAAAATCAGAGAGACAAGGGCTGGGGATGTGGCTCAAGTGGTAGCGTACTCGCCAGCCATGCGTGAGGCACTGGGTTCGATCCTCAGCACCACATAAAGTTAAATAAGTGAAATAAAGGTATTGTATTCAACTACAACTAAAAAATAAATATTAAAAAAAATCAGAGAGACAAAAGATATTAAAGACAAACAGAAAAGCCACATAGCTATAGAAAGACCTCAATTTTTTCAAGACTCATTTTTCTAAAAGCCAGACCCAATAAAAACAGCACAAAGCACATAGATCAATTTTTTTTCTCACTTGCTCCCTTCTTCTTTTAACTTCCTTCAAAGGTGGCTAAAACCTTTTACTATCTTTTGTGAATTACTTGAAAATCTTGCTTAAAAGAGGATAGCAAAATTTACTTTTGTATCAGTGTACTATTAATTAAAAATTTAATTTTAATAGAACCTTATAAATAAATAGTTTGATCACGCAAAAAACAAACAAACAAACAACAAAAAAAAAAGCCTTAGCAGTTTAGCAAGGCTCTAAGCAACTTAGGAAGGCCCTGTTTCAAAATAATAAATAAAAAAAAAGGACTGGGGATATGACTCAGTGGTTAAGTGCCCCTGAGTTCAACCAGGTATTAAAAAAAAAAAAAAATAGCTAAATAAAGAAGGTTGGGGTTGTAACTTAGTGGTAAAGCACACGTGAGTTCAATGTCCAGTACCAAAAAAAAAAAGGTGTTTTTTTTTTGGTATTAGTGATTGAGCCCATGGATTGAACTCATGTTGCTCACTAGTCACTGAGTGACATCACCAGCTGTTTTTATATTTTATTTTAAGATAGGGTCTTACTAAATTGTTTAGGTCCCTGCTAAGTTGCTGAGGCTGGCTATGAAGTTGTGACCCTCTTGCCTCAGCCTCCTAAATCGCTGAGATAGGCATGTGCCAATGCACCTGGCCCCAAAAAAATTTATTTTGAGTTATAAAAGTTATTTAAAAGTAACTTTTGGGGCTGGGGATGTGGTTCAAGCGGTAGCGAGCTCGCCTGGCATGCGTGCGGCCCGGGTTCGATCCTTAGCACCACATACAAAGATGTTGTGTCAGCCGAGAACTAAAAAAAAATATTAAAATTCTCTCTCTCTCTCTCTTAAAAAAATAAATTAAAAAATAAATAAATAAATTAAATAACTTTTTATTTTGAAACCATCATAAGATTCATGTATCATTCTAAAAAATACTATGGAGAAATCTATATCCTCAACGAGTTTCTCTTCAATGGTATCAGTTTGCCTAACTATATTATAATTTCACAAGAAAGTTGATATATTTTTTTAAATTATTTTTTAGTTGTAGATGGACATAATACCTTTATTTTATTTACTTTTATATGGTGCCGAGGATTGAACCCTGGGCCTCGCACGTGCTAGGTGAGGACTTTACCACTGATCCATAACCCCAGCTCCAAGAAAGTTGATATTGTTATAATTCACTGACCTTTCCAGTTTTACATGCATTCTTGTATATGTATGTGCACTTAGTTCTGTGTGATTTTAATATATGTGTAGATTTGTACAAGAGCCACCAGAGTGAAGGTACAGTACAGTTCCATCACTGGATCCCTGTGATACCCTTATATCCACAGCCACCTCCCTTCCCATTCTGTTCTAACCCTTAGCAACCACTAACTATTCTGTTCTCTCTCTATGATTTTTTTGTCTTTTCAATAACCCGATGTGGTGGTAACAGCTATAATCCTAGGGACTCGGGAGGCCAAGGCAGGAGAATGGCAAGTTCAAGGCCAGCCTCAGCAACTTAATGAGACCCTCAGTGACTTATCTAGACCTTGTCTCAAAATAAAAAGGGTTGGTATATAACTCAGTGGTGAAATACTCCTGGGCTCAATACCCAGTACCAAAAAAAAAAAAAAAAAAGTTATAGGGCTTGGGATATACCTCATATAGCCCAGTAGTAAGATGCTTGTCTAGCATGTATGAGGCCCTGGGTTTGATCCCTAGCAACACACACACACACAAAAAAAAAAAAAAAAAGTTATATAAATGTGGCTTGGGGATGCAGCTCAGTGATAGAGTATTTATTTGCCCAGCATATGTGATGCAAGGCCCTGAATTTGATCACTAGTCTCACACACACACACACACACACACACCATTTAAATAAATAGAATCATGTAGTAGGTAACCTTTTGAGAATTGCCTTTTTACTCCCAGTATAATTAATTTTCTTAAGATCCATCCATGTTGTTTGTATCAATAGTTTATTCCTTTTTATTGCTGAGTATAATAAATATCATGGTACATCCATACTGTGCTATGGTATACCCATGCTATTATGTTGTGGTACATCCATATTTTTACCTGTTGAGGATACTTGAAAATACTTTTCAGTTTTCAGCTATCAAAGAATAATGCTTTTATGCGTAATCATGTACAGATTTTTTTTTTCCCTTGGTACTAGGTATTTATCCCAGGGGCAATTTACCATTGATGAGCCCTTATTATTTTTTTATTTTGAGCCAGGGGCTCACTGAATAGCTTAGGGCCTGCTAAATTGTTGAGGTTGACGTTGAAGTGTTGATTCTTTGTCTCAGCATCTGGAGCAGCTGGGATTACAAGCATGCTGCCATCAAGCCCAATTCTCATACAAGTTCTTATATGACATGAATTCTCAAATTGGGGGAGTAAATGCCCAAGAGTGTAATTGTTGGGTCATATGGTAAGTACATACTTAGTTTTGTAAAAAACTGCTAGTTATTTTCTAGGTGTGACATTTTACATCCCTGCTAGCAATTTATGAACAATCTAGTTCCCTACATTCTCTAGTATTTGGTATTATCGCATTTTTAATTTTAGCCATTCTTATAGGTATGTAAAGCATGTTTTATGCATGTCAACTTTTCTCTCTCTTTTACAAGTTTTTCTCTAAAACTTTTGTATGTTTTATGCATGTCAACTTTTCTCTCACTTATCTATGGGAAGAGAAATAACTATTTTAGGTATAATGGTGAATTGCTTTCATTAGAAGTTTCTGGGGCTGGCATTTTGGCTCAGCGGTAGAGCACTCACCTAGCACGTGCGAGGCCCTGGGTTTGATCCTCAGCACCACATAAAAATAAAGATATTGTGTTCAACTACAACTAAAAACTAAATTTTTTTTTTTTTAAATATTTATTTATTTTTTTAGTTTTCAGTGGACACAACATCCTTGTTTGTATGTGGTGCTGAGGATCGAACCCGGGCCGCACGCATGCCAGGCGAGCGTGCTACCGCTTGAGCCACATCCCCAGCCCTAAATATTTTTTTAACAAAAGAAGTTTCTCAATAATTGTATATAAGGATTTCTGACTTTTTAAATTTTTATTGGTTCTGGAGACTGAACCCAGGGTCTCATGCATACTGAGTGTATGTTTTATCCCTGAGCTATACCACCAGCATCCTGGCCTTCTTTAGACAGATTATTCCCACAGAAATCATAAACTGGATGGTCATAGCTACTAAACTAGAGTCAAATATCTTTTTTTTTTTTCCTACCAAAGATTTAATCCCAGGGTGTTCAACCACTGAGCACTTCCCCAGCCCTTTTTTATATTTTATTTAGAGACTAGGTCTCACTAAGATGCCTAGGAACTCACTGAGTTGCTGAGGCTGGCTTTGAACTTGCGATCCTCTTGCCTCAGCCTCCTGAGCTGCTGGGATTACAGGCCTGTGCCACTGCACCCTGCTGGAGTCAAATCTCTTTATGTAAGAGCCTCAAACCTGGGATTTACCTGTGTGGTTTCTGGGCTTAAAAATCTATACCTTCCTGAGCCTTGCTTAGTCCTTCCTTAATCCTGTTTCTCTCTGCATGGCCATGCCTTATCTTTTGATTGTAAATCTAAAGAGATATGAAAAACAATACGTCAAAGAATGTATTTCACTTTGTTTTCTAGTTAAAAGGAAGCAAAACCTGCCAGGTGTGGTGGCACACACCTGTAATCCCAGTAGCTCTCAGGAGGCAGAGGCAGGAGCCTGATTGCAGGTTCAAAGACAGTCTCAACAACTTAGTGAGGCTGTAAGCAACCTAGTGAGACCATGTCTTAAAATAAAAAATAAAAAGGGCTGGGATGTGACTTAGTAGTTGAACACCCCTGAGTTCAATATTCAATACAAAAAAAAAAAAAATTGGTACAAAAAAGCAAGCAAAGCCTCTTTGTTTTACTGTGTATTCATCCCCTCCAATTGGTGTTCTTTGGCTTATAGTTCTAAGTGTACCTGCTGGTCAGGTTGCAGAAGAGACTGTAATTGAAGAGGAAGAGGAAGAAGAAGTAGAGAAGTTGCCACTGGCAAAGAAACCAAGGATAGAAGAGATGGCAAACAGTATGGAGGAAGGCGAGGTAATGTGATTTTTAGCCATGATGGAGAGAAGAAAAAGGAAAGAATCAGAAGGTGTAATATTGAAGCCTGAACCCTTCTTCATCTTTTTGTCTACTTTCTGGATAATCTGTGATCTGGAATTCTTACCTGGTGGTGATATGGTTTACTTTACAGGAAGGCAGAGAAAGAGAGTTACTACAGCAGCAACTCCAGGAGGCCAATCGGAGAGCCCAGGAATATCGACACCAGCTCCTAAAGAAAGAGCAGGAGGCAGAACAGTACCGCCGCAAACTGGAGGCTATGGCCCGGCAGCAGCCCAATGGAGTTGAGTTCACCATGGTGGAAGAGGTAGCTGAGATAGATGCCTTAATAGTCACAGAGGGGGAGGTGGAAGAAAGAGAAACACAAGTGTCTAGGTCAGGGGGGACCACAGAGCCTCATACTGGAGTTTCCATGGAAACTGTTTCATCTTAACATATAAGGGCCACAACTTGCCCTGTGTTCATCTTTTAAGAAGAAAATACAGAGCACAAACACTGTATTAAAATTAAGGATGTCCTTAACAAGAAAACTATGGCAGGGTACAATGCTTGGGCCCAGGAAAACTGTATACAACTGGAAAATTCGAAGCTGTATTTAGGGAATGCTTCTCCTGGGGAGCCAAGAGAGAATAAGGACCAAGTTTCTCAGCTCACATTGTTGCTTTAAGCATACAGGTAAAAGTGATAGATGTTATACGTTGATTTTTTTTTTTTAATAACTGACTTTGTATCAAAAGATTTTAAGATAATACTCCTAATGCATATACACCAAAAGCCTTTAGTAATTATACCATCAAGTGACCTGAAAATTTGCCTTAAATTTATAAAACTAATTAGGAGGGAATTTAGAAGCAAGCTTCGGGGAAGAGGAAAGGAATATATTCCACTTCCAAAGGAGCAGGCACTCCCATCTATCCTGAGTTAATATCACTAGAAAAAAATTTTTTAATTACTTGATAAATTTGTGTCCATAGCTCAGATGCCAGTGTAAGAAACTGAAACTGCTAGGGATATAGATGTAGCTCAGTGGTAGAACAGGTCCCTAGCATGCCCCAAGTCCTGGATTCATCCCCAGCACCACAAAGAAAGGATGAGAAAAAAAGAATGAAACTGAAATTGAATTTTTAAAAACTGGAAAGGAAACTTGTATGTGTAGAAGTTTACATAATACCTGAATTCCCCAGTCTGTATTTTGAGTGCTGGTAGGTGGCCTAAAAGAGGCTGGCAGGGTTATGGAACTCTTGTCTTGGGATACTAACTTTGCACTGGCTGGATTTTATAAAATTGCAATCAGGAGGGTAATCTGTTGTCCATACAACTTGCTTCCAAACATTATTTATGTAATATCAGGCTCAGACTCTTTAATTTTATAAAACTTTGTTGAATTTGTGTCACTTAGGACACATTTGCTTTTCTGTGGAGCTTATGTCCTCTTAAGTGCAAAACAAAGGAGGGTGGCAAAGAACAATGCTGATGATGTATAGTTTGTTTCCATTTGATTTAGGATGAGTCAGCTGCTCTGTTTTTGACCTGCTACAGAGCTTTGTGCCTTACTGGTGTTCAGTGTATGCTGACAAGGGAATAACTATCAGTGCCATAAATTACGGAACCAAAGTTTCTGTCCTGTTTACTTTCCTCCCTTTTCTCCCACTATGCCTGCTCCTGCTGCCCAGAGACTTTGGAAAGTGTCTCATTGCTGGGTTTTCTTTGTGTGTCATCATGCAGTTTTTTCAAAAGAAAAAGGGTGGTGTGGTGGCGCATGCCTATAATCTCAGCGGCTTGGGAGGCTGAGACCGGAGAATCACAAGTTCAAAGCCAGCCTCAGCAACTGCGAGGCACTAAGCAACTCAGTGAGACCCTGCCTCTAATAAAATACAAAATAGGGCTGGGGATGTGGCTCAGTGGCTAAGTGTCCCTGAGTTCAATCCCCAGTATTAAAAAAAAAAAAAAAAAAAGAGGGTGTATGGATGGAGAGAGAGAAAGGGAGGGAGGAAGAAAGAGGGAGGGAGAGGTTGTGGAGAGGTTACATTGCAGAGGTTATTGCCTTTGAAATTGGGCTCTCATTATTCTAGACTTGCTTGCTTTATTGTAAATTATTAGAAGAAGAAACCAGAGGGAGATGTGCCAAGTAAACATTTGAATGACTGTTTAGAATATGGTTTTCTCAATTAATGATCATGGGGAAAACATGCATTTTTAATTTGGAAAAAAACTTGACAGTTAACATGGTTCTGTTTACCTTGATTAGTAAAGTAAATTGCTACAGTGTTCTGAAGATGCAGAATCATTTTGAGCTCAAAATAGACTGAAAATATAATTCCCCAAACTAAATTTAAAAAACAGAATTGGCTATTAGACATTTATAAGCAAAATACCAGTTTTGAAATTAACCTTGGCTATTGGCCATTAGCTAGGTTTTCTCCATGTATCTAGCACTTCCCAGATGATCACAGATTATTCTCGGCTGTTGGGGATGACAGGGATATGAAGTGGAGAAGCCTAGGTAAAGTTAAGGATGAAATTTTAGTATCTACTGTCATATCATCCTTGTCCTGTTTGCATGTTTTTCTTTTTTTTCTGAGTCCTTTTGGGAACCAGGTACTAACAATAAACTGCTCTGTGGCATTTCAGAGTCTTAGCTTAAGTAAGTATAGAGGGACCAAGTACCATTTTAGATATCTTTTGTTTATGTTTTGGTGCTGTTCCCCCCATTGAGGGAGTAGAGAGAGGTTAGCTGCAAAAATTATCTAAACCTAGTCAGTTGTGGTGGCACACATCTTTAATCCCAGCAACTGGGGAGACTGAGGCAGTGGGATCACAAGTTTGAGGCCAGCCTGGGGAATTTAATAAGAACCTGTCTCAAAATTAAAAAATTAAAAAGGTCAGAGGGTATAGCTCAGTGATAAAGCACCCCTGGATTCAATTCCAAGTACTGCAAAAAAAAAAAAAAAAAAAAATTGAAACTTTACTTCGTTCTCTGGGCTATTTACTGATTGGTAGTAGGGAATATCCACCTAGCACTCTTTTCTGAGCATAGAGAGTCCCACTTTGGGGGGGAACTGTTTAGGAATTCTTATTACTCTTTCTGAGGAATATATCTTCCACTCCTCTCCCAAAGTCTCTAATACAAACAGGTTATTTTCTTATTGGAGAGGCTGGAGTAGGGAGTGAAAGAAGGGAAATGTCTGTAAAGGGGTGGAGAGGAAAAAGGTATTAATTTTTATTTACTTGGAATAGACCTTTTAGCATGCCCTAGAGGGGAAATAGGATTTGGTCTACAGTTATACTGCCATGAAGAGAATGGTAGCTCAGGATGCTCTGTAGAATCAGAAGTTCGGCATTGAATGCAGTACTACAATACCATGTCTGAATTTTTCATATCTTTCTGGGTCAGTCATGGAAGTTAGGAAAATGTGGGTTAGGTCTTCTGAGTTAGGGGATTACAATTAGTTTACTGGCAAGGTTGGATTATTGAGAAGTAAGGTGGTTCAGAGTTGGTCCTTGAGCAGGAGAAACTTGGAGTTTAGGATAGTTCTCTACATTAAAATGAAGCTGCTTTAATTGTATCAGTATTAAAGTCAAGAATTTTAGAACCTACATTTGCATTTTGGTCTTAAACCTTTTTCCAAAGCTTCAGGGAAATTAATTATAAACATATAAATATGCATTTTGCTTCCCACTACTACCTCTGTGGGATCTCTTAATTGTAATGCCAGAGTTGAGATCCCTTGACTGAAATACTGAAAAACATGGCTTTAGGATTTTCTGTGTTTTGAACTCAGTCCTTAAAGATGTTTTTTTCTCTTGTCAGATATACATTTAGCTATTTACTTTGCATTCTTTCTTCTTCAGCCTTACTATTGCATAATTAAAATTTTTGCTTGTTTTGTGATGCTAGAAATCTCTGTATACAAAATGATTTCTTTCTTTATATTAATGTAAAAGAAATTAATTTCTCAGAGGTCCCTCCATTTGAAGTTGGGTATTGTATGATGAGGATAGTTTCTGAACCCCTTTGCTGGTATACGTTAGTGTGTATGTTTATAAATATGTATTTTCCCATTTTCTCTTCGTTTATTTGAGGTTCTGCTCTAAAGCACCAGGTGTAACCTGGAAAACTTTTTATTCATTAAACACATAGGGTTTCTTTGGGTTCAGTGAATGCACGGAGGAAGAGAAAGCATTACTTTGCCTGCTTCTGAGAGATGTGCTTTAATAGGCAAAAAGAGAAACCAGAGGGGTGAGGCTTCGGGAGAGCCAGCGCCTGGCTTTAAAGGGAATTTGTTCAGCAGACAGTGTGATGACATCGTGTATGTGAAAGGTTCAGAGCTGAGTAGGGACAGAAATGGAGCTGCCCCTTCACCAGACAGGCCTCCTTTCACTCTTGTGGAAGCTGTTTTGACTGACATTTATAAAATCTCATCCCTCAGTGGGGAAAAACCTCACCAGATAGAGAGCCAAGGCAGCATGGCAGAAGGAAGATATTCCCTACATCCATTTTCCTAGTTTAGAAATCTTATTTTGAGAAATGATCTTCATTTTGAGAAAGCTTGTGTGGCTCTTTCCTAACAACATTAGGGACCTCCAGAGCTAGAAGACCTGAGGCATGTAATGAACTCCTAGAAATTTAATAATGACTGGGAATCAGTTTTTGTCCTAATTTATTAGAGAATGGCTTCCTATTCTCCACTCCGGTCCAGACCCATCTCTGGATGACTGGGAAAGGAACTTTAAAATGGAATGCATGTCAAGCCCACCTGTACGTATGTACTCTAGGCTTCTGTCCATCTCCATTTTATGTGATGATTCTTTCCCCCTTCTGAGTTAGTAGTTATTTCCTACGCCAATTTATTTACCAAGACAGCAGGAACAAGAAAGGCATGAATTAGAATTAAATAACTTTGAGCCTCTGGTGCAACCCTTTTTAATTAAAAAAAAAAATTTTTTTTAACCTCTCTAGGACTAGGGAATAGAGTGACATTCCTAGACTCTTACAGTAGCAATTTGGTTTGTTAATAGCAGGGAATTGTGATTCCCTATCTATCTCTCTCTCTCCCTTCCTCTGCCCCCACTCTACTGCTTCTGCTTTTGTGATTCATTGTTTTTATCTCATTAAGTCTTTCTAAGGCACTAGAACTTAATTAGTAGGTCATTTTAAATCCTTGGGCCTTATCTTTTCTCTCTCCACTCCCCTCCCTACCATATATTTTGTTTATTCTGATGCAGTTTGTTTCTGATAATTAATCTAGGTCACACCCTCTATTTAACTGTGCTTTCCCAGTTGGTTTCAGGCATGTTGCTCTATCAATAATGATGGTAACAACTCTTTCCTGGCTTTGCCCCACATGCTTTCCTCTGCCAAGGCCATTTGGTGGGGGGCAGCAGGGAGGAGTGCCCCTACATTCTGTTCACAATGTCCTCAGTTTTTCAGGTTGTCTGACAGCTTTATGTACAGCATGTTTTTAGGAAAACTTAAATATCCTACTTTTTTAAATTTAGGATAGAGTTTGAGTCTGATGAGGAAGTCTGTATGTCTGTGTGTATGAGCATTTATGTATGTATATATATATACATATATATATATACATACCTATACAGATCTATATTATATATACAATTTTTGTACTATCATTTAAAATAAAGATGTTTCTTAATAAAATGTCAAAGTCTTACCATTTCGAGTATCATTGAATAGCTTTTTTTTAATCTCTTAGGCAAAAATTATATCTAGTCTCTGATCCTGTTGATACCCATAACTAGCTATCTGTCTCAGCCTGGTGTTCTTGACAGGCTGAGCAACTCAAGGCAAGAAGAGAAATGAGAAAAAAGAAAGCTTTTGACTGGCCTTGTTAAATGTACATTTTTCCTTCCTCCACTTTTCCCTCAACCCTTTCTCTAAAAGCAAACTACCAAGAGGGGAGAATAGGAGCTAAAGGAAATTATTCTGTGTCTTGTGTGGGAGTCAATACTGAGAAGTAGGGGAAAAAAACTATAGGCTCAGGGAGGCTTGGAAAGAGTGTGTTTGCTCTACTGGCTTCTCAGCTTCTGTTATTTCCTGTGTTTGCTGCCTCAGTCCTAATGAGCACACATTTATTAGGTAAATACAAGGAACAGTCTGGTAATAGTAGCTCAAGCCCCATTGATAGCCACAGTAGAACAAACTTATTTGGCTAGCTAACAGGTGTCCCCATGTAGTGTATAGGGCTCTCAAGTGTCACTCCAATGGCAATCAGGTTACCTTTCTTTTTAAAAGGAGGATGACACCAAATTCAAGGACATACTAACATCTGCATTCAACAACTAGAATCTCCAGGCAAACTCTCGAAGTCTGTATTTAGGAAATTGAACACCTGCATATGCTAGGCTACCTGGTGATAATTGGCTTTTGGTAAATACGTATAGTCAACAAATACTGTGCATATATTAATTATGATTTCCTTCTGACAAGTGCCTCATAAATGTACATTAGGGCTTTGCTGTGCTGAAGGAAAAAGAGCAGGAACTTGAAGAGCCTTGAGAAGCAAATAACTAAGAGTAGTTTCAAATCAAAATCCTGGTGAGAGATATCATCAGGAAGACAGGAAGGGAGGTTGAAGGGAATTGGAGAGACAGAAACCTAGAGTTCTCTGATGGGTGATTTTTTTTATTTTGTACCACAGGTTGAACCCAGGGGCTCTAAACCACTGAGTCACACATCCTCAGCCCTTTTTATTTATTCTGAGACAGGGTCTGGCTAAGTTGCTTAGAGCCTCATTAAATTGCTGAGGCTAGCTTTGATCCTCTTGCCTTGACCTCCTGGGCCACTGGGATTATAGGAGTGCACCCAGCTGATGGATGATGTTCTTAAATGATGGGGAAAAAAAACATGAACTAGAGCAAATTCCCTAAGATTTTCTTTCTCTGTGAGAATTCGCTACTCCCAAGAGATCAATAGGTAGAAAATATAGAAGATTAAAATAGAGCTTGGGCATGGTGGCACATGCCTATAATCCCAGCGATTTGGGAGGCTGAGGCAGGAGAGTTGCAAATTCAAAGCCAACCTCAGCAATTTAGCGAGGCCCTGAGCAATTTATCGAGAACTTGTTTCAAAATAAAAAGGTCTGGGGATATAACTGGGTTGAGTACCCCTGGGTTAAATCCCTGATACCAAAAAAGGAAGGGAGGAAGGGAAGGAAAGGAAGAAAGGCAGGCAGGCAGACTATATGTGACCTCTGCCAGGTGTGGTCATGTACATCTATAATCAGCAAGTCAAGAAGCTGAGACAAGAGGAACAATGTTCAAAACCAGCCTCAGCAATTTAGCAAGACCCTATTCCAGCTTGAGTCAACCACTCTAAAGGGTCAACTGCTGGATTAAGTAGCAAAGAATGACTCACCTGTGTGGTGGTGGCATCAAGGAGCCACAAGTCTGAGTGACAGTAATAGCTCAGGCCCCTGTGAGTTAGCCCCCAAAGAACTCAAGATGCTAAACAGCTTTCTGAGCTCTGTGACTATGGAACCTTTTGAGTGTCAGGTCCCCAAAGCCTTACATAAGCTGATGGACTGCCTGCTGGGGCCCTGGTTTCTCTATAACCTCCCAGGATGCTTCTGAGAAATCAGCTTAGAAATCCCCAAGGATGAGGACTCTATCCTCCTGATGGCACATTCTGGGTTTTCTAAAGACAAAGTTTGAGATAATATTTTGATTTTTAAAAACCATCAGCAGATTCCTTAATCGAGGTTGTGTTTACCTCTCTTTGTCAGCAATAATTATTTCTTTTAATTCATCCCCTTAATTTATTACTCACTACTGTCTGTCAGAAAGAGGTATCTCATGAGTATTAATGAATCACATACTTGGTAATGGCCTACTTTATTTTGGGCAAATAACTGTTTCCCACTAAACAATTTAAACCTGTATTTTTAGGATGCTTTACAAATCCCCATTGGCATATGTTCTTTCCATTCCTTACAAAAGAAACAGGCTTTGAACTGCTGTTGAATTGCCAAGGTCACATACAAAACAAATGGTAGAATCCCAGGACTGTTGCTCTCACTGCAACAAAGTCGCTTCCACTATCTGTAAGAATTCAACTTAGACACTCTTGGCAAAGAAGTCACCATACTCTTACAGATACTAATAACTGAACATTTTTTACAATTAAACTACAACCAGGACTTTAACCTGTAAGTTGTTGCTATCTGCAGTTACAAGATTAAATTTCTATTATATGTACAGTGGGCCCTCCATATCCATGGGCTGGTTCCACACACACAGATTCAACCAACTGCAGGTTGAAAATGTTTGAGGGGCAATTACCTCTGTACTAAACATGTACAGACTTTTTTTTTTCCTTATCATTATTACACTGTGTTAAGTATAATAAGTAGTCAAGATGATTTAAAGTATAAGGGAGGCTGTGTGGCAGTTATATGTAAATACTATGCCATTTTATACTTCAGTATCTGCATATTTTTTAAAATGTTTTTTTTTTAGTCGTAGATGGACACAATACCTTTATTTTATATGGTGCTGAGGATCAAACCCAGTGCCTCAGATGAGCTAGAGGAGCTCTCTACCACTGAGCCACAACTCCAGCCCCATATTTTGATATAGGGAGGTCCTGGAACCAATCCCCCTGGACACAGAGGGATGGCTGTACTTCTCTTTTGGGACTATATTTAAACCTGAGGATCATTCACCCCTTTTGCTTATGACCACTTTCAGGGCAAGAACTGTATTTGTGAAATTTGTTCCTCTGAGAACTTCCAAAGGCTACAGTCGCATTTTTTTTTCTTCATTCTTTCTTTAACATCTTGGTTTGAAAGTTAATGAAGTCAGGTAACTGGAAAGATCCTCCATTCTTTTCTCAATACTAGGGCACTAGCAATGGCCCCAAAGCATCTTAGCTTAAGTAAGGCATGCAAGAAGGGGAGAACTGAGCCCTAAAAGATTACTCCACTCTGGTGCAACAATACCAAGCATAAAGGGCACAGAGTGGTCAATGTCTGGAATCTCAGCAACTCTGAAAGCTGAGGCAGGAGGTTTGCAAGTTTGAGGTTAGCCCCAGCAACCTAGCAAGAAACTGTCTCAAAAAATTTAAAAAATCGGGAGGCTGGGATGTGGCTCAGTGGCAGAATCCATCCCCAACACACACACACACACACACACACACACACACAGGAGGAGACGTTAAACTCTGGAGGACAACTACATTTGTCCAAACAAGCCTAACTGCGTCATGAGGAATATCTCACTCTCAGAGGACATATCAAAACCTTGAGGGCTGGGCTGGGGTATAGCTCAGTTGGTAGAGTGCCTGCCTGGCATGCACAAGGCCCTGGGTACACACACACACACACCCTTGAGGGTTAAGCCTGTTATCCCAGCGGCTCAGGAGTTCAAAGTCAGCCTAAGCCAGCCTCAGGAACAGCGGGGCACTAAGCAACTCAGTGAGATCCTGTCTCTTAATACAGAATAGGACTGGGGACATAGCTCAGTGGTCGAGTGCCCGAGTTCAATCCCTGGTCCCCCCCCAAAAAAAAAAAAAACCCACCTTGAGGGTTAAACGTACAAGTGGAGTTATGAGGATGCAAAGGGAAAGCCTTGCTCATTAAAAACCAGATCGCAAAGGTTCGAAGACCCTAAGCGTGAGCGGATGATGAAGGAGCCATCCCCCGACTTCTCCTTCGGAAGCGCTGGCACACCCTGGTGCTCAGGGAGGAGGAAACAGGGGCCTAGGGCAGAACGGAGGTCTCAAGTAGTAAACGGGGAAGCAGAAGCAAGCTCCGCTCTCTCCAGGAGACTCTTCTCCCAAGTTTCCCGCCACGAACATTTGGGAGCAAACGAAGCCGGCGCAAGCCTGCAATCCCAGCGGCTGCAGCGGGAAGATCGCGGTCTCTCAGTAAAAATAAAAGAAGGGGCTGGGGACGAGGCTCAGGGGTCATGCGCCCTGGTTAAATCCCGTACCGAACTAATCAAAAGAGCAGCAGTGGGGCGAACGGTGAGCCACCGGGGAGGCTTCCAGGGGCTGCAGGGCTGAGTGCGGCCTCCAGGCGGCGCCGCAGGAACGGACTAGGGCGCAAACCGGGCGGACGCTGCGGCCACGCGCGGAAGAAAAACCTGACTTGCAAATCCTCAAAAGCAGTCACCACCCGCACAAGCCTTAACTGTCCTCAACGCAAGGTGTGGGCGAGGCAGGTGGGCATTCGTCCCTCCCATTGGTACCCAAAGTAATGAACAGGTATCTGCAACCAACACCAGCCAGAAAAATGGAACACCGCGGTGCGCACGCGCAGGCCGAGCGCGGGCGAGCGGGCTCCTGCGGCGCGTGGCCGGAGCGTCGGCGGAGCGAGGCTACGCCTGCGCGCCACGAAACACGCCCTGGCGACCACCCCCGCCGCTACCTGAAGGGGAAGCACTCCAGGAAACCTTTGCCGCCAGCAAGGCCGAGTGCTTCGCTGTTTCCCGCAGCTTTACCCCTCAAGCGATCCAACCTCTTTCAGCCCAATTCTCTTTGGGACAAGATTTCCTGATCTAAAACTCAAGTCACGCCGCAGCTTCATTTTATTCCTCCAAAATTTCCTCCCCACCCCGTAGAACCGATCTCGAGCCAGGCACGTGCTCGCGTGTTTCCCCAGCCCCCTGGCCCTGCGGCGCGTCCCCTGGGTCCTGGCTCGTCCCCACACACCATTCCTTCGCGTGCCGCCTTCGGGAAACCAGGCTGGCCGTCCCTGTGGGGCCGCAGCCTTCCCGCTACTGGGGAGAGCTCAAGGCCAGGTGAAGGCAGGTTCTGGGCGAAGGCGCCCCACGCTGGAGCCGACCGACCCCACGCCCCGTGCCCGCCCCACAGCGAGTAGTCAGGCAGCAGCTCAGGGACACAGCTGTATTGGGGAGCGGAGGCTCCTACACAGTAGGAGGAGGCACGTCCCAGTCCCGAGAGGCCCGAGACGCGGCATGACGCTGCGTGGCCCCAGCCACGTCTGCCCGCGCGCGCGCCCGCCCGCCCGCCCGCCGTGCGGCCCGCCCGGGGCTCGGTCCGTGGAAGCAGCCCCGAGGGCGAGTTAAGGCAGCTTGGCTGGAAGGGAGAGGGGATGGAGGTCTGCCAGTCCCGGAATGTGGCTCGCTGAGGGACGGCTTCTACCTCCCACTCCTCTTGAGGACTGGGGGAAAGACAGTCAATAAATAAGCCCGGGGCCAGCAGGGACCCCGGGGACTTGGAGTCCAGAAGGCCGGAGGTGACCTGTTCGAGGACCTGGGCCTCAAGGGCCCCGGTGAGGCGGTGGAGCAGCTCCTTTAAAAGTTAAAATGGCTGCCGTCGGGCACAGCCAGGCGAGCGGCCGGCCCGAGGAGGGGCGGCCTCGGAGTCGACTGCGGCGCCCCGACGTCCGCCCTCTTCAGAGCGCGGCCTCGGTGACCCTCCGGCCGTCCCAGGTAGAGGAGGTGCCTCCCGGGCCCCCCGGAGTACCTGGCGGGGCCCCCTGAGGGGACTCGGGTGAGCAGGGCTGGGGGCGCACGGTGGGCTGAAGGCGGCCGTCGGCTCCCCCCGACCCCGAGGCGGGGCGCCGGGGCGGAGAGCGCGGGCCGCGCGCAGGGGGCCGCGCACTTGCCCTCGGGGGGCACGTCCAGCCTCAGCGGAGGCGCGCACTCGCGCGGGAGGGGACTGCAGTCGGCCAACAGGCCGGGCCCGGGCTCCGGCGGGGGCGCCCGCGAGGTGAAGGCCGCGGAGGCCGGGATCGAGGGCTGGGCGCCCGGCCCGGGGGGCTGCGGGCCGTGCAGGTAGCGCAGCAGCTCCTCCAGCGTGGTCACCTCCACCGCCTGCCCGGGACAGCCCGGCGGCGGCGGCCTCACCAGCACGCGCGGCGCGCACCCGCCCGCCGGGCCGGCCCGCGCCCGTCCCGGGCCCTCCTTGGCGTTGTTGCCGTTCTGGTTCCATTCCCAGGGCCCTCCTGCGGCGCGGAGGCGCTTGACCGGCAGTTCTGGGGTGGACTCTGGCGTGGGCAGGCAGGCCAGCTCGGGCGGGGGTCCGCCCTCGGAGGGAGGCAGGAAGGTGGTGTAGAGCTGCGGCGGCGTCTGGGCGGCCTCCCCGTCCTTGGAGGGTGGCGGGGGCTCGGGGCCGCCGCCGTGCAGGCGGGCCAGACTGCGGAGGGAGAGAGGTCGTGGGAGCCCCGGGGTCTCGATGTCTTTGCTCCGACGTCGGTGGGCTCGGCGACAAGCACAGGAAACCAGGAGGCCAGAGACTGAGGCGCCCAGGGCGAAGGCTGCGGCTACACTGGCCAAGAGCAGCGGTATCGGGACAGAGCGGGAAGCCGAGGCCGGGAGGAGGTCCCGGCGCACACCTGCCAACCCAGAGGGAGAGGGAGGCTCAGCCTAGGGTAGGGGGTGCACGGGTGGTGCCAGGCCTAGAGGGTCCTCTACCACCTCCCCTGCTGCTTAGCTTTACTCCCGCGGCCTTGACCTTCCTTCCTTGGGATTCCCCTCCCCTCCCCCCTCAACACACGCAGTCCAAAGCACTGCCCCTCACACACAGGCTAGAGCATGGGCCTGGGGAGTCCCCAGCCCAGTCCTGGCCCCTGTAGCCATGCCAAGAAGAACCGCCAAATCGTCCGTGCAGAAGGAGGTGGGGCATCTGGGAAGGGAGACTCCAAACAGGCATTAGAGACCAAACACCAGTCAGTGCCAGGCTTAGAACTCGCCAGGAGTCAGCAGCCCCACACTTCACTCCTGTCCCTCCCAATTAACCCCCTTACCCTGAGTGTGAGCTCCAAGAGTGGAAGACTGGGGCCCGGGGTGGGCATCACTGGGGGGACTGGGGGTCTCAGGGGAAGGGCCAGGACTCAGAAACACTGGCGACAAAGACCAGGTCAGAGCCAGTGAGGCTCCTGCTCTCCACCCAACACCCACCCAGGGGATCCCTCCCACTGTGGAACCCAAGAGGCCCCAACTTCAGCCTCTACTCTGGTCTGGGCATGGGGAAGGGCTAACCATGCAGGACATTCTCTGATTTATTTGTTCATAAGCCACTTATTAAGCATCCTTCTGTATCCAAGTACTGAGCTTATATGCTGGATGTCAGGAGGGTCCTGACCTTTTGTGAGGTCCGGGTACTGGTCTGCTGCTGCCATGGGACACAGACCTGGGTGTGTGGGCTAAGTAAGGGAAGGTGAGGCTGGGACAAGAGGACTCACCATAAGCAGAATCCCCAGGGCCTGACTGACTCCCAGTAGCTCCATCTATGAAAATGGGAGAGAGAGGGTAAAGATGGGGTCAGAGGGAAGCTTCATGAAGAACTGATGGAGGTGACTGTGCCACAGAAGGCCAGAAAGACAAAAACCCATGCCTGGGACGTGTCTGGCTATCAGAACCATGTGCACCTCTGGCTGCAGCTGTTGCCACCCCTGCTTTTTACCTTGGCATTCACCATGCTCTGTGAATTCCTGGTTGCCAACCTGATCCACATCAGTCCTAGGAAGAAAAGGAAGTGGCTCAGGGCAATTCTACACCTTGTCCCCATCTTGCATCCTAGCCCTCTTTTAGTGGTAGGGAATGTAATCCTCAGAAGATTCAGGGGCTCCTTACTTACCCACCAGTTCCCCTGATGTCCACACAACCTCTGGAACTATGCCATCCACAGTATGGGTCCTGAGAAGCCAAACAGCTCCTAGGGGAGACCGAGTCATGTGAGGCTGGGACTCCACTCTATTCCCTTCCATTCTGCTGCCTCTTCTTTCACCTTGGTTCACAGGAGACTCCCAGCCTTACATTCCCATCGCATCGGCCCCGATCTCTACTCCAGACCTTGCTTGCTGCCTGCCCACCTTCAGAATGCCCAAAGCACTCTTTCACCCAAACATCCCTTATATCTCCCTGCCACCTGTGGATCTTTCTGTGCTACTGCTGGCCCAGGAAGCTTGCCCAGGCAGTGCCAGGCCTCAGACCCCTCTTACCTCTGACAGGCCCCATGCCGGGCACAGTGGCTGAGAGGGAGGTAGACAATACAGCCAGAAAAAGCCACAAAGAGTCTGTGACCCTCAATGTCCAGCTCCAGCCCTATGATCCGTCTTGCTGTTTGGGCTGATCGCTTCCCACTGCACCTAGGGTGAGGCCAGAAGGACTCAGGATGGGGCAGGTGGGGCTACCTTTCCCTTGGAGAAGTGATGAGCAGAAGGTGAGGAGGTGCAGGAGCAACCAAGCACAATCCATGGAATCACCTTGCCCCAACTCACTATCTGGTCTTTTTACCAAGCCCCTTTCTCTATCCCACAGCTCCTGTCCTAAAAAAAGAAACTAATGTTGGAATTCCCAACCCATTCCCATTTCCCCGTCTGTACCTCCACTCCCCTCCAGCTCTGCAGGGGCCGCCCTCCAGAAGGCTCACCGGGAGGGGCTGTAGGCATCAATCTCTTCCAATAGGATAGGTTCAGGTTGCCCGCCTGGAGGCAGCACCTTCAGCACCCTGCCATCATTGGAGCCAAGGAACAGGACGGTAGTGTTTCTGTGGGGACCAGCCGTGCCATCCACAGCTACCTGGGTTAGTAGAGCCCTGGAGCAATAGGCCTCAGGTCAGCGTAACCTGTTCAGCTAGAGCATTCAAGGAGAGCCCAGGCGTCCTGGTTCCCATTCTTGCATCCTGACTCCTCACTCCAGGGCTCCTTTCTTAGCTCTCTCCCTTCCACCTTCATGAGTACTTCCTCCCGTGAAGTACTCATCATGTGATTTACCTTCTAGGGTCAGAGAAAGAGGAGAGGGGCTGAGGGCAGGAGGTGCTAGCTAGTGGTTTTAGCCCCATACCTGCTAGTGAAAGTGAGGAGAGGCTGGTGGGTGGCAGGTGGCACAGCAGGGTCTAGCAGTGGGTGAGCCTTGATGAAGGTCAGGACATCATCAGGAAGGTCTCGAGAAGAGGAGAAGAGGGCTGCCCCACCCACACCTGCACAGGATCCTGGCCTGGTGGGCACATGAGAAGGGGCTGCCTTAGTGTGGGGAACGTGGGCTTAGTTAGGTTCTGTGTCCCACCACTGCTCCTAAAAATACTTGGTAACCCCTGTGCCCTCCACACAGACTCTTGCACAACTGTTCCCATCCCTGTTGCAGCTCTTCAATCCCATGGCCAACACACTGCTAACCCCCCTCCCAGGCCTTGGACACCTTACCCCTCCTCCCTATCCCATTTAGATAATGCTTACTTCTGTCCCCCAAAAGCCAACACTATCTGGGTACCTGGGTGAGGGGACCCGGTCCTCAGACACGGGCGTCCAAGCACCATCCAGACTCCTCTGTTCCTTGAACTTGCCCTCAAACCCATGTTCAATGTCTTCCAGGTAAAAGGCACAGACTGCAGAGCCAGGGATGCTGGAGGGAGCCAGAAAAAAAATGCAGGATAAATGTTGGTTGAGAGGGACTGCATAGCTCCACTAGGTAGGAAGTGGTGGCCTCATTTTGCGTACCATATTAGGGGACAGACACTAAGGGACAGGGCAGCTTCTGGGTGCCATGCTGCCAGAATAAAAGGTGGACAGCAAACTGGTTTTGCTTAAAGCTTTCTCTCACTGCCCTCATCAGTGGGCTTTTGGGAGGGCGCAGGGGTAGTACTGGGTTGAACCCAGAGAACTCTACCACTAGCTACCTCCCACCTCTTTTTATTTTTTATTTTGAGATAGGATCTTGCTGAGACTGGCCTCAAACTTGTGATCCTCCTGCCTCAGCTGCCCAAGTAGCGGGGATGACAGATGCAACCAACACACCTGGCTCATCAATATATAGGCTTTGAGAGGGGAGTTTGGATGTTGGTGAGACAGGGGACTTCCTCCCCCAGGCCCGCCCTGACCTCGCAGCCACTTGGAGTCGTACTGTTGGTGCTCAGCTTGGTACCAACCTATTGGTCTGGGTGGTAAAGACTCCAAAGAGAGCAGAATGGCCATGCAGGGTCACAGGCCCAGTCAAGGCCTGCAAGACGTCAAAATAGAACGTAGAGTCCCCGGGGACAGAGCAGTTGAGCCGCAGCTTCAGGAAGGATGTCCAGTGGCGGTCCAAGGCCCGAGGGGAGCCACCCATGTCACGTTTACAAACACGGGCCACCCGGGAGAACTGCACCTGTGCCGGTGGGGAAGAGGAAAGTGAGAGTCCACTAGCTGAGAGGGAGGTGGTGAGTTAAGAGCACCAAGACAAAGATTAAGGCTGCAGCTAAGGGTACAGCATGGTAGGTCAATCTGGGTCAGGATGAAGCTCACAGCTGAATGTGAGGGTAGAATTGAGGGCCACACTGAGGTGGGGGCTCAGAGTCCAGGGGATTGTGCTGTGCAGATTAGGGTCCCAGAATCTTCCCCAGATTCACACTGGCTCCTTAGGACCCAAAAGAACCCTCCACTACCCATCCCTGGTGCCCATCTCCTTACCCTACCCAGCCGGGCATCCTCCACAGAGACTTCTCGGAAGAAGAAGTAGACATGATCTCCATGTTCCAAGGCATGGACAAAGTGTGGCTCTGAGGTGGGGAGTGACAGGCAAAGGTATGGAAGAGCATCTATATCTGCCCAGAAAGTCCTCTCCCTATTGTATACATGAGCTTACTGCCACACCCTCTGCCTGATCCCCACACAGTCCTCCCTCTGCACCTTCACCCCAAGAATAGGCTTCCTCCCCCAGGCCCGCCCTGACCTCGCAGCCACTTGGAGTCGTACTTGGCGGAGCGGAGCGGGGGCTGAGGCCCAAGGCTTCTGTAAACAACAGCATCGCTGGCTTGGAAATCCGCAGCTGTGGCTGAGTACAGGCTGCCCTCTGGAGGGATGGGTAGGTGAGGCCAGGGGTCTGCATCCTGCATCTTATTTGGCTATCCACACCCCGACCTGGACCTGGACCTGGCCCCTACCTCAACCCTCCACTCAAGGACACAGGGGAAAGACCAGGTAGGAGAGGTGTAAGGTAGGAGCTCCCTCCAGCCACATGCCCAGGTGCATACCTGCAAAGATGGCCACGTTGGACTGGGTAGCATCAAAGGGGCACCGAGCCTGCCCGCTCAGCTCATCACCCTCCTGCTGCAGTGAAGTTATCTGGGGGCAGAGGGAGCAGGTTGCTGGTATCTTTGGCATCTTGGAGTCAGGCTCCATAACCCACCCCTGCATGTCCCCTTGATGCCTTCTGGACCCTTGCATTCTGGGCACTCTCATTCCTTGACCCAGTTCTTAGTCCCTTCACGTTGAACTGACTGCCCAGCATGAGTTCTCCTCCCAACCAATCCTCCCCCCCACCCTCTTCTTTGTACCCCATAGCTGCGGCACACAGGGCTGAATGAGTTCGTTCCACAGGCAAGCAGCGTCTGGGAGTCCCAGGGAACGAGAACACGAATGTAGTTGTAGCACTCGTCCTAGAGAACCCAAAATTCTAGGTCAGTGACAGGTTGCTGGGACTGGGACTAGGGGTCACAAGAAGTAAGGCTACTACCCTGAGCCAATCAGAATGATGTGGGATAAAGTCCCAGCTACACTATTTGCTAGCCCTGCAGCCTTGGCCACGTCCTTTGGCCTCTCTGAGCCTCATTTTCCCTTTTTGTGAGGAATATAAAGGGAACTAAAAAGCATTAATCCTCTTTCCTTCCCATTGTCCTCGGTGGCCTAGGATGGAAAAGTGGGTAGGAACTTTGGCATGGTAGAAGACCCTTGGGCAGAAGCTAGAGGCCTCTTTCTCCCCCTAGATGCTCTTTCTATTCCTCACCGTCAGCTTTCCCCGGACAGCACAGTTCTCCATATCTTGGCTCTTCCATGTTAGATACTGAAGGAGAAGTAGAACACTGTGAGGCAATCTGGACCCCCCACATTATGGCTCTTCTCAGATCCTCCTTCCCACCCACTTGACCACTGTTAGACCTTTCCCAGCTCATCTCAATGCCTGCACCTCCTCCCACATAGCCCCTCACCTTGTTGGGCACCAGCCCCTCCCCTTCTTCTTGGGCTTGAAGATCGAAGGAGAAAACGTGTTCCCTGAAGGGGTAGGTAACGAGGATCAGAGCTGAGCCAAGGTGCCCCACCTGAGCTCCTTAGCCCCCCACCTTAGCCACGGTCACCTGCTCAGGGACAAACCACAGACCTCCTGCTCCCTTCCCTCCCTTTATTCCATGCCTTGGCATTTGTGCTCTGGGTCCAAGCATATCCGTGTCCCATGGCTTGTGCACCTGCATGTGTCCCCTGCAAGATGCTGCAGTGGCCATGCAGGTCCCATGTCTGCCCAGGAGCATGCATGTCTGCCCCACAACTGTGCCTCGGCCAGTTTACCGGGCAGCCACTAGCAAGGTCCGGTTCAAGGTCAGGAATTTCTGAAAGTCTAGCCCAAGTTCTGCAGCCACAGCATCATCCTCCAGGCCCCGGAACCAGGATAATGGGGAAATACCTGGAGGACACAGAGAGGTGAAGTGCTGAGGGCCAGCCAGGATACACGCACTCCCAACACCACAACAGCCACATGAAACCCAGCCACACACAGGGAAAGATGAGAGGAAACCAAAAGCTATTAATAAAAATGATGCCAGTAACACTGAGCACTTAATTAATCTCTGTTAAGCACTGTGTTAGCACTTTATTTTATTTATTTGTTTTTTGTTTTGTTTTGTTTTGTTTTGGTACTAAGGATTGAACCCAGGGGTGCTCTACCACTGAGCTATATCCCCAGGCCCCTTTTATTATTCATTTTAAAAATTTATTTATTTATTAACTTGTTACCAGGGATTGAACCCAGGGGTGCTTAACCTTTGAGCCATATCCCCAGCCCTTTTTATTTATATTTTATTTTGAGACAGGGTCTCACTAGTTGCTTGGGGCCTCTCTAAGTTAGCTGGCTTTGAACTTGTGATCCTCCTGCCTCAGCTTCCCAAGTCGCTGGGATTGGAGGTGTGCACCACTGTGCCCAGCTTGTGTAGCACTTTAGATCTTACTTAGTACATTAATCCTATGAGGTAAATGCTAATGTTGACCCCATTTTGCAGATGAGGAGCCTGAGGCTCAGGAAAATTAAGGGAATTGCATGAGCTCATTTAGATCTAGGTCTGTATAACTCTAGAGCTGAGTCCAGTCCTTTCTTGGAACTGCCTTTGGGTTAACAATTCCCCACCCACCTTGTGTGCTGTCCCATCTGGAGCATTTACTTCCTCCATTTCAACCAGCCCTCTCTGCACTCTCCCCTCAAGGGTCTTCGCAGGTCACCTCAGCCCTCCAGGGTTTTTGCCTCTCCTGACCAACTCCAGCATCCACCCGGCCTGATTATGGAAACCACAGTCATCAGTGTTCACAGAGAGCTCAGAGTCCAGGGATAATTGATTTAACTTCATAAAGTGCTTAGAATTGCATTTGGCTCATGTAAGTATTTGCTGTTCAGATCTGTTCCCCAACAATTACTCCCCAAAACCCAATTGCAGTTCTTCCTTCCTTAAAATTGCTCTAAATCCTAGATATATAACAGGGACTGCAAACAGATAAAAGTTTTCAGAAATACTGGGCTTGGTTTCCATTATAGTAAGACCTAGGTTTGGGCTGGGGCTGTAGCTCAGTGGTAGAGCACTTGCCTTGCATGTGTGAGGCCCTAGGTTCGATCCTGGGCACCACATAAAAATAAATAAATAAAGATATTTTGTCCATCTACAACTGAAAAAAATATTTAAAAAGAAAAAAAAAAAAAAGACCTAGGCTTAGTGGTAGTACAAGTGATAGAAAAGGAGGTGTTGGGGTGTTGGGATCCAGGCCTTTACTTTGTGACTAATAATAATAACAACAAATAAATGTAAAGCATTTAGTTTGTGCCAGACAGTGTTCTCATCACTTTACATGTTTTATCTCATTTCATCCCTAAATAACCCCATGAGGTAGAACACTATTATTATCTTCATTTTGCAGATGAGGAGACTGAGGCAAAGAAAAGTTAAATAAGCTTAACAAAGGTCACCAAGATAGTGAGCAACTTAGCAGGAATGTAAACTGGCTGTGAGTTCACCTTCTTTTATTGTTTTGTGGACTAGGGATCTAACCAAAGGCCCTGTGCATGATAGGCAAGCATTCTATCACTGAGCTATACCCCCAGTCCTTTTTATTTATTTTATTTTATTTAACATATTTTGCACTAGAATTTAGACCAGGGGTCCTTTACCACTGAGCTAACCCTTTTATTTGTTTATTATTTTAAATAATTTTTTTTAGTTGTCGATGGACCTTTCATTATTTATATGTGGTGCTGAGAATCCAACCCAGTGCCTTACACATGCCAGGCAAGTGCTCTACCACTGAACTACAACCTCAACCCTGCCTCTTTTTATTTTGAGACATGATCTCACTAAGTTGCTTAGGGCCTTGCTAAACTGCTGAGGCTGTCCTGAACTTGCGATCCTCCTATCTCAGCCTCCCAAACTGCTGGGATTAAAAGAATGTGTCACCAAGCTCATCTTCTTTTTATTTTTATTTTTATTTTTTTCTTTTGTACTCAGGGGCACTCGACCACTGAGCCATATCCCCAGCCCTATTTTGTATTTTATTTAGAGACAGGTCTCACTGAGTTCACTGGGATCACAGGCATGCACCACTGTGCCCGGCATTTTATTTCTCTTTTCTGGTATTGAGGATTGAACCCAGGGGTGCTCTACAACTTAGCTACATTCCCAGTTTTTGTTGTTTTTAGTTTGAGACAGGATCTTGCTAAAGTTGGCATGGACTCCTGAGTCATTGGGATTCTAGGCATGTGTCCCCATGAGCATCCCACCACTGCCACCACGACCTTTTTCACGGCACTCCCGATTGAACCCAAGGGTGCTTTGCCACTTAGTGCAGCTTAGGTAGACACAATCCCACCTGGCTAACAGGATTTTTTTTTTTTTTTTTTTGGTAATTGTAGATGGCAGCACACCTTTATTTTATTTGCTGTTTTTTTTTTTTTTGTATGTGGTGCTAAGGATCCAACCCAGTGCCTCACACGTGCTAGGCAAGCCTCTGCCACTGAGCTACAGCCTTAACCCTAAGAGGACATTTTAACCATCAGATCACACTGTCTCTAAGTGAAGAAAGCAGTCCCAGGGAAAAGAAAGAATGAACCTGAGGCACCAGCTGCCCCTCCCAGCCTCTCCTGGGCCTGACCGTGCCCTTGGCTGCTCAGGCTCTTCGCTTCTTTGAGGCTGGGGCCTTCTCCCACCCTGTACCCCATGTTGGCCTCATCTCTGCTCGCTCACCGAGAGGGGTGGGGTGGAAAGGGTCACTCACCTTGTAGGTCAGAGATCAACAGAGGGAGGGGGTCCTGGGGAAAGGTGGCTCCGGTATAGGGAAGTGAGAGCAGCAGCAGGAGCAGCAGCAGGGGCATGAAGTAGGGGACACGGAGCATCCTGTGTGGGGCAGCTCAGGCCCCAGGGGGTGCCCCTTCACCCATATGCTGGCCCTGAAAGGAGAAACAGAAAAGTGGGGCAAGGGGCCAAGTTCCCTCCATCTAATAGTCAGCTTCTCTCCCAGTCTATCCCCAGAAGACCCTGTGGGGTGGGGCCAAGAACCTCTCTGCTGCTCTATCCTAGTCCCAGCCAGCTGTCACTGTCACTCAAGGATCTTGCTTCTCCAACTGGCCCGAACTGGCTAGTGTGAGGCCTGCCTTCGTGACCCCAGGTAAGGACAGGACAGGCCTGTAGCTCCAGGCTTCTCACTCATCCTCTCCTTTTCTCTCCTGACTGAGTCTGGGACATTTGGTAGGTGACACCTCCTGCCCCCCCTGGTGTTAACCCCTTCCCAGCTATAATTAGACACTGAAGCCTTGACATTATAAATAGTGGCTCCTTGGCACTGGGAAGAGAAAGAGGGCACCAAGTCTACTTCTCTCTCCCTCTCAGACCCCCACCCCACACTGGGAGTGACTCAGGCACGGTGCCCAGGCTGAGGCAGCTGTGCGGCAGCCATGGTCCTCTAGGATCCAAGAAGAACAGGGTGGGTGTGGGGGGCAGCCTAGGGGTCATTGTCCCCATCTAAGCCCATGCTCCAGGGGGTCCTTCCCACAGCTAAGGAAAAAGCTGGACAGGGAGGGGAGCTGGGGGGGGACCATCTTGGCCAAAAATGAATCTGCATCAAAGCCAGATCAGAGGCTAAATTTAGCTCTGGCTGCAGCTGTCTCCTGGACCACTGTGCCCCCTCCCAGCCTCTCCTAGCCCCCTGTTCCCTCCCTGGCTCCAAAGAACCAGCGCATGTACTTGATGGGGGTGGGGGTCAGTTGTAGACTGGCCCTCTATGGGAGCCAGAAACAGAATGGACTGGTGAGGTGAAATAGTGGAATATGCCCCTCTGTCCCTGTCTTTCCTCATCAGGCTGCCTCTAAAATTGAAATATAAATAATTAAATGGCAGGCAATTGTAGCCCGAAGTCCTGGAAAGATGGATATGTAGAGGGGATGGTGAGGCAGGTCTTATTCCCGCCCATCAGCCTCCCCCAGCCAGCTGACCCTGGCTGGTCCCCCAGTGGGAGATGCACACCAGCTTCCTGCCTTCCCCAGAAACTGAAGTCAGGGGCTGAGGAGGCTCCTGAAATCAGGTCAGGAAGAATCCTTTCTTTGTGAAGGGATCACAACAATCCTTAGTTGCCCTTCCCACCATGTCCCCTAAAGGAGAAACCCTAGGCTTACAGGCCCAGCCTTCCATCTCCCCATTATTTCTACTCTTCCCCTCACCCCCAATCCAGCGTCACTGGTGGGGAGGCTGACGTCAGGTGGGGCCCCAAGAGAGCTGGAGGAGGGGAGGGGGCAGGAACACCTAATGATGACCCCTTCCCCAGGGGCAGAACAGTCGGTTAGCTAAGGACCCTCTGGTGTGAAAGGCTGAGCCAGCCTCCTTCCCCCATCCCCTGTTTCCGGATGCTGGAACTCCCAGGGGAAGGGGAAGGGACACAGCTTGTCTCCTAAGCTCCCCTACTGCCCCCCCCCAAGTTGCCCTGGGCAACTGTTATCTTCACCCTGGAAACTACTTTGGTCTCTGGCTGGCAAGTGGGGAGAACAGCCGGACCCTCTTCCTGTTCCCAGGATGTCCCTGCTCTATCCCCTGCTTCCTTACCTGGGATGGTAACTCCTAGGGGGATTGAAGGGGTTAGGAGACCTCCGAAGGGGAGAGGAGACCTCCAACCTGATGGAAAAAGGGACAAAAAGAGGGAAGAGCCTGAGTTACACCTCCTGCCCCGAATCTCTTACAAGTAAATGTGAAAATTCAGGAAAAGTCTTCTAGTGTAGGGAGATGCCGCTTGGGAAGAGGGGGAGGGGAGATGCTATTTAGTTTGGTTTTAAAGGTGTTGGCAGCTAGAGATATGAGGGCAGGGGATGGTCCCTAGCCAGAAACTCCTGAAACGGCAAGACCAGCCTTGGGGAAAGGGGTAATGGGAGAGTTTGTGGGGCATGAAGATCACTCCCATATTAAAACCTTCAGAATCCAAAAGCCTTCTTAGCAAAAGCGCCCTGGCTAGGGACAATAGAGGCTAATTTGCATTTCATTTGCATGCTCTTCATTTCCAGCAAAATGCTCTGATAACAAGGACCCCCAGCCCCTTCCTTCTTCCCTGAGAAAGCAGGCCCTGTCTCCCTCCTATCTAACCCCCCTTCACATAGACCCCCCCACACACTGCACACTTGGATTAGTCCGCCTCTAAAAACACTTGGTCGGCCTCTGCCTTGCCCCTAGACTCCACTATGACACATCTTTAAAGAGGGCTTTTCATAGATGTTTTTGGGGAGCAGCATCTAGGTACCTCCTACCCATCCCCTTGACTTGGGGAGAGGCTTACTGAGACCTGGAGGAATTGTAGGGAGAGACCTGGCCAACTCTTTCTCCCCCTTCTAGAACCTCTCCTTGATGGGAAGAGGAAACAGCCCTTCTCTCTCCTCCTGGCTGGGCAGCCACCTCTGGGGAGTGGCGGAGGTCATAGCCAGAGTCTAGCAGAGATGGGGAAGGGTTGGGGAAGGGGAGACCGGGCTGGGGACAATAGCAGGAAGCCCTGGGCTGGTCGCCCGCCCGGGTCCACCTTCCTCAGGGGGAGCTAGGGTGCACCCAGAAGCCTCACGGATTAGGCGCGTTCCCTTATCCAAGACCTTTCCCCAACGCTTTGCTCTCAGCCCCAGGTTCGGCACCTATCTTCCCTCCCACCCAGCCCCCAACGAGGATAATCCAGGTGTCTAGAGCTTCGTGTGAGCTGGGCCTGGGGCCAGGGGCTCGACGTGTCTCCCCCTCGCTGGATCCGGGGCTCCGAGGAGGGGCGGGTAGCAGAGTCTGGGCCGGGACCGGGTCCCAGAGCCACGTTAGCGGGAGGAGGGGCTGAAGGGGCCTGCAAGCTCAGACTGAGAGGGGACGAGAGCGGGGGTTGGGGAGCGGAGGCGGGTCTCGCAAGCCAGGGAAACAGGGCCAGAGGCTGGGAACCGACGAGGGCGGGCCCTAGGCCGGCGCTGAACGGAGTCGGTGAGCTGGGATGCAGTCGCCACTCGGCTCTTCTCCTTGGGAGACTAGTCTAACAAAGCCCTGGGCCGAGTGGGGTGAAGGAAGGAGAGAGGAGCTGGACCGAGGTTTCTCGGGGCGCCTTTCTCCGACTCTGTGCTCAAGCCAACCCCCAAGAGGTGCTCAGACTCCTGCTTGCACAAGGACGAAGATGCAGCCCTGACACCAAAGTCCAGAACGGTGCGTCCCGCTTTCCATTCCCGCAGGGGCAACCAGAGGGTCGGTTCTCCAATCTCGGAACCTTATTTACCCTGCGGGGGAGGCAAGGGACCAGGTTTTCCACTCTCTGTACAGTGCGCGCCTCAAAATATTCCCCCTCTTGTTCCCTAATCCAGTGGGAGGCGACTCGGAGAGAGCCCAGTCGAAAGAGGAGCGCGGACCTGAGCCCAGCAGTGCGGTGACGGTGCCTGGCCACGGTCCCTCCTCCCCGGGGCGCCCCAACTCCGCCGACCCTCTCTGCCAGCCAGGCGCACAGCGCCCGGGGTGCCCCTGGCCTCTCCAGCACGGTGTCTGCTGGCCGCTCACCTGCGGAGCCGCTTCCTCCCCGCCTCCCTCCACCCGGTTCTGCCCCGGGTACTTGCTCCGAGATCCGGGGTAGCGGGATCGAGATCGCGGCGGGCGGCCAGCAGCCCGCACCGCGCAGAGTTCTGTCTGTGGTTGGCGCCCAGGCGAGAGATGACTGTCGTCCCAACTGGGTGAAGCTGGGATGTGGGCTCCGGGGGACTGTCGGTCACGAGAGCCCTAGGTCCGAGTCGCAACCCCCACTCCCGCCGCGGATCCGCGGAGGAAAACAATGCGACCGCCCGGAGCTCTGGGCTCGGCCCCAGCCGCCCCGCCCGCCTCCCGGCCGGGCCCGCCTCCGACCCGCCTCCCGGCCGCCGCGGCCAACCGTGTCGCCAGAGGCCCGCTAGACCCCGCCTTCCCGCCCCTCTCCGCCAGTAGCACTCCTCGGGGGTGGGGCTCCAGGAGCACCGTCCACCCCGAGAGCCCCGCGGGGAGGGCGAGCTGGAGACCAGAGACCCGAGTGAGATGGGGAGACCGTGGATTGTTGCTCGACCCGGACAGAGGAAAAGAAACACAGAAACAGGCCGACGGGGGGGAGGCCTTGAGAAATGCCACAAGAAAGCAAAGCTGGCAAGAGACAGGAAACCCGGAGGCCTCCGCTGGGCTGGGCTGTCAGAGCCTGCGCGATCCTCCCTCACTTCCCCTCTAAGGCTCTGGCGACCCTATGCCCTAGGGAGTCTCTGGCCTCTCCCCCGCTCTGCCCCATCCTTCCGTTCCTCCTCCTCAGGCTTTTATACCTCGGTCTCCTTATTTCTTCCCATGCACCTCTTCTGATTCCTCCTGACCTCAATGAGGAGGCCTAGCATGTTCTTGGGGGTTTGAGGCCTGGGAAAGGACAGGAAAGTGCCCTTGGGAGGTTTTTCTTGTCCAAAATCATCTCCTCCCCTCCCACCTCTACAGTCAAAGCAGGATGGGGTTGGGTCACCACGCCAGGAACTAAGGAGCCAAGAAGCTAGGGTGGTTGGCAGTCAGGCTGTTGGTTGATGAAAGAGGACAGGTGAGAGTGGCTGAAGCCAAAAGGGAAATGCGAAGACCCAGAATAATTGATTGAGAGAACCCACAGAAAGAGGAGTCACAAAGCGAACTAAAAGAGAAAATGACCAGCCCTAATCCATAGTGCCCCATAGGCTCAGGATTCATCAAAGAGCCCTAGACGTCTCTCCAAATAGCAGAACTGCTCCTCCATCCCCACCCGCTATAAAAACCATTTGGTTCTGGGAATGTTAGTGAGGAGGAAGAATGAGAGTACTTCAGAAGTACTGCTTGGTCTCCACCTTGGTGTTGCCTGCTAGGATTCTTCTCTGTGTGGGGCTGGGACAAAAGACATTCTCAAAATTCCCAGGAAAGTAGGTGGCCTGGGAGACATTGGCATTCTCAGACAGTGTTATCAGAGTGGGCACTTCTACCCACTTCTTGGTCTCTGAACTATAAGAAAGGAGGGGTAGATTTACCATTTCCACACAGCCTCAACTGACTGGGATCAGGGTAGGTAACAACACCAACTGGGCTAGGCCCCATAGTGAGTAAGCAAGACACACACACACACAGAAAGAGAAAAAAGAGAGAGGCAGCAACAGAGACTTAAAGCCAAGTGAACCAGTGAGATAAACACAATCAGCAACAGTGGAACAATTTCCACACGAGATGAACAACTGAGGAGTCTCAGATTTAAGGCAATTCAATGGACAGTTGAATCAGGATCTGTTTTTTTTTTTTTAATACCTTTATTTTATTTATTTATTTTTATGTGTTGCTGAGGATCAAACCTAGGGCCTTGCTCTACTGTTGAGCCACAACCCCAGCCCTGAATTAGGAGCTATTTTAAAGACTGGAAAGAAGTTTGGGGAGAAAACTACCTTGCAATTTACATGCATTCAAGAGCTGGATATGTAGTTCAGTGGTAGACCACTTGCCTAGCTTGTGCAAGACCCTGGGTTGGATCCCTAGCACTAGAAGAAAAAAAAAAATTAGAGGTATTCAGAGGTTAAAAGAAATCTCTCCAGATCCTAGCACAGGCTGAGCGGCTGATGTACTCAAATATTATTTATTGAGTGATGTATGAATAGGGACTAATATGGAATTCATTTAAAGTTATAGGGCCTAGTTCAAATCTCAGTTCCATTCAATAAATTTGAAACAGTTCCAATCTACTGTACCATCTCTGGAGGATTGATCCCAATCCTGAGGAAAATGACCACCTAATTGAATTAAAACAAGATTTATTATACTAAATGACTGAAAAGCAATACCAAGTCTCAAACAAAAAAGGTACAATGAACATAAATTCCTAAATGTAAAGGAAATAAATACTCTTCATGATGACTGCAGGGTATGATGTTGGATGCATTTTATCAAATAGGACAAAGGAACTTTGGTGGGAATTGTCTTGGATAAAGAAGAAAATGTTCTAAAGAAGGACATTGCTTAAGCAAAAATTCTTACTTGGTGAGCATGGAGCCTGAAGCCTAGATTGCAGAAGGTCACATGAGATTGATACCCAGGGACAGCATTGGTTAGAAGCAGGGGAAAGGGGAGGAGGGCCACAAATTACAGAAGGCCTAGAACACCATGGTGATAGGTTAAAGTAGAATCTCATTCTAAGTTCCAGAATAAGGGACTTTTTTAAAAAAAATTTATTTATTTATTTTAGTTTTCGGTGGACACAACATCTTTGTTTGTATGTGGTGCTGAGGATCGAACCCGGGCCACATGCATGCCAGGCGAGCGCTTGAGCCACATCCCCAGCCCCAGAATAAGGGACTTTTGTCAGAATGTTTTTGGTTCTAAGCAAGAAGAAAAGAGAAAACTACTAGCAAGAAGAAAACAGGGAAGTCTAAGGATGAGGAGAGAGGGGCAACCTAAGAGTGATAGCATTGTGTATGGAAAGAAATAGATGAGAGTGTTATTTCAAAAGAGAAAGCAACATAACTCTCTTCCTACTCCCCTGGTGTTCTGAAGAAAATCACACAGTTCCAAAGGTTGGAATCTTCATAAATTTAGGCTCTCCAAACTGGGAAAATCACCCTTTCCTATTTCCCACAAGTGGCTAATTGAAACTTCCTACTTTTTCCTGAAGTTCCTTTCCTCACTACTCCTTGCTCATTCCAATAGAATCTACACCCATCTTCAGAGAAAAATAGAGCAATAAAGTGAGGGTTCTATCAACTTTCTGCCTCATACAGATACATTTATCATCATCACATCTCCCTAGTCCTAGTGAATGAGGAATCAAAATCTCCTGTCCATTTTACTGTAAGCTCCACATAGTATGTCATAGTATGTCTTGCTTACCCCTGTATCTTTTCCATTTAGCACAGCACTGGCACATAGTAGGTGTTAACTATCAATGCATTACTATTTTTCCTATTTAAGGTGTTTGTTTTGTTTTGTTTCAATACTGAGAATCGAACCCAGGCCCTTGAACATGCTAGGCAAGCACTCTACCATTGAGTTACCTCCCCAAACTTCACTTAGTTTTGGGTTGTTTGTTTTGCAGTGCTGGGGATAGAGTCCAGG